GCGGGACCCCGCCGCCCTCACCCGCGACCCTCACGCGGGACCCCGCCACCCTCACCCGGGACCCCGCCACCCTCACCCGCGACCCTCACGCGGGACCCCGCTCCCCTCACCCGCCGCCCTCACCCGCGACCCGGCCGCCCTCTGCAGATCCGGGCTGCCCTGCGGCAGGGGTCTGGGTCCTGCAGGGTCTACTGGGCGGGGCAGCTGCTAGCTGGAGCGCCCCAGCGTCTTACGGGAGCTACTGCTGTCTCCCCTGGTGCAGACCCCCAGCCCAACTCGGACTCCTAGGCCCCGTACCCCGGGCCCCTGCAGAACTCCCAGCCCACTCCAGACCCTGCACCTGGCTTGAGTTGCCTCACCTGAAGATGGGGTAGTGACAGCCCTTCCCTCCGGCATAGAGGCTGACACACCTTCATGTCTGCAGAATACTTAACACTTAGAGGGAGGTCAGTCCCCTGCAAGGAAATTTTGAAAGTTAAAAAAATTTTTAAAAGTCCAGTAAATGGTTGTCTAATCATTACAAATAGACTGGGATTTGGATCTTATTCCTCCCAAGGCCTGTGTCCTGACGGCCCACTCACTGTCACTGGCAAAAGAGTAAGTTCTCCCCCAGTATCAGGGAGGCCATGTAGTCCTGGAGGAAAAGCATCTGAACATTTAACTCTGCTTTTGAGACTTAAATGCATTTTTGGCTTTTAGAATCCACTCTTTCCACAATCTCATTATTTTTAAATAAAGCTTTATGATTATATGTAGTGGTTGGGTCCATCTTGACAAACTCAGACATGCATGCAAATAGATTTCAATTCATGATTCCCTAACCCTAACCCTCCTGGCCTCCCTCCCCTCTCCCATTCTCCTTCCTCTACTAGACTGGCCAGTCTATGTATTTGTAATTGATTAGTTGTTATTTTTACTGTAAGTTTCAGATTGGTATGTTTTACTGTGGCTGGTATAGTGAATTCTTAAAACAACATCAAATTAAATAGGCATTGGCATGTACCAACTTGTAATTTTTACCAACCTTAGGAGGTAGACACTTGTTGTTATCTGTTTTACACATAATAAAACATCTGCTTGGCAACTCTTTTGAATTTATCATTCGGATTCTTAAAGATTCTGTGATATGAGGCACATTTTAAAAAATGCAAGTGCAGTAAGAAATGGATGAATTTGAGAATTCTTGGTGATTAGATTTCCCTAGGATGTCTGACTAGGAATGATTCTGACAGGTCTAGTCAGACAATACTGAATTTGTTAGAGCTCCTTATTTAGGGAAATGACAGGTGCAGCTTACTTTTTTTTTTTTTTTTCAGGAGGGTGGGTACCAGGGATTGAACTCAGGGGCACCTGACCACTGAACCAGAATAGGGCTGGGAAGCCCTATTTTGTATTTTATTTAGAGACAGGGTCTTGTGGAGTTGCTTAGCACCTCGCTTTTGCTGAGGCTGGCTTTGAACTCTGGATCCTCCTGCCTTAGTCTCCTGAGCTGCTGAGATTACAGGTGTGCACCACCATGCTGGTCATAGCTTACTTTTTATATAAGTAAATGTGCTTTTGCAGATTCTCCTAAGTTCTGCTTGGTATGCTCATTGTCCCTCAGTTTCTTGTGGCTGGATGCTCTGGTGCTTGTTAGGAGTTGACAGGTAACTAAATCACTTCATTTCCTCACAGAACTTTGTAACTTGTGTGGCAACACAAGAACTTCAGTGAAAGAAATATTCCTTATGTAAAGTTTCTTATCTGTTGAACCCGTTAATACCAATGCTTTGAAATAGGTCAGGGATGTATGGGCTAACAGAAGGGCATAAGACTGTAACACAGGGCTGGGGATATAGCTCAGTTGGTCACCTTGCATGCACAAGGCCCTGGGTTCGATCCTTAGCACCAAAAAAAAAAAGACTCTAACACAGAGATGAACTGAGAAGCCTGAGAAAGGTGGCCAGCACGCATTCAGGGAAGAGGTGGAGAGCAGCAGCCTTGGTCCTCTCCCCTTTCCTAGACTGGCCCCACACCTTTCTTTTGGCCAAAATAGGTCAGCGCTTCCTTGGGCACAGCCAAGCTTGGCCCTGCTCCTGCACTTCACTGTTGGCCCCTATAGTGTGTTGTGGTCATTGTTGACAGCGGGCCTCTCTGTTGGACTTGGAGATGCCTAGTTATGGACTGCGATTAGGCAGTTTTTTGGCATCTCCCCACAGGAGCTGGCCATTGTTAAGTGTCTCAAAATCTTCACAGAATTATAACATCTCTAAACCTGGGTTTGGTTGCTGTAAAAGGAGGTAAACACCAGCCTTATTGACATTCCAGAGTTTCTGTAAAGATTGACTCAGTGTGGTGAAAGCACATTGAAACTGAAAAGTGTTTTGTTTATAAATTAAAAAAGACTTACTGCTAATGAATCATAGTCCTAAAACAAGTGTGATTTTTATATATTAATTAAGCAGAGATTATAGGAAGTGGGACTCTTTTTTTTTTTTGGCCTGTGATGTCCCCCTTCCCAGAAGATAAACTTCTCGTTCAGAAGAAAGTTATGTCAAAAAAGAGTAACTTCTCCATAGCACTGACATTTGTCTGAGCGAGACTTTGCTTGGACTCAGTGTTGTTGCTGCTGGGTGGGTAGGAGGGAAGTGGCACAGCCAATGCTACCTTGGAAGTGGTGGTAGATGGTGCCTGGACCACCTGGGAAGCCTGGCAGAGGAGACTAGTGGGCAGCGTCCCCTCCTTCCTTCATGCCTCACACAGGGCGTGGTCCCAGAGTGCTCTTGATTCTCATCTGCAGCAGTGATGGGTGGGACCTTGGGGAATCCAACTTTGTTCTGATTTCCTCCTGTGGGCTGGGTTTACTGAGTTTCTATTATGGATCCCAGGAGGGAATAAAGCATAGCTATTTTCTTGCTCCTGTGTTTTTGTGTTTTTCTGGCCATTGTGCCATACTTGATTTAGGACCTCCTTCATGTCACCATGAGGATAAAGGGTGGAACTCCCTGGAACCCACTCTTCTTCCATGAACACACACAGAATTCATACCTGTGGCTTCCGAAGGCATATTAGAATGTTCATGGATGAAAGTGAGCTTGTTAGAAGCACAATTGTGATTTTTAAAAAAGAATTCCCAAGCCTTTGTGCTTTACCTGTTATTCTAAGAAGTTGCCTTGGACACACCTTGCAGCTGATTTTGGCAACCAGTGCTATATAGTATCTAGAAGTTAATGCTGCCAAACTGCTTTAAAAATACAGACAATGGTGTAAGGTTTGTTCTTTGTGTTAGTGGCCTGCAGTGAGTTAGAGAGGAAATGCCCACACAATAGGCTACATTTTTTTTTTAATCTGGTTAATAGATCTATTTCATAACTTTGACTTTGGTCTGTTGCATGTTTTCTTGCATTCTAATAATGCAGGGACTCCAGCCTGGATGGAGTCAAATGAAAAGGGGTTGAGAAGCTCAGTTTGTGCATTACCAGGAAGAACTTCTTTCAGATAGTATTTTTCCTTTTCAATTGTCTTTAATTTTTAAAATATGTGATACACTTCTTATTTCCCAAAATGGCAGTATGAAGTTGTCTTCTATTTAGAAGCATTTGTTGTGCTTCTAAATATTTTATGGAATGTAAATGTTCTCATGTCTGAGTTCTGTTCAGTCTGTGTCAGCCCAGCCCAGATGCCCTGTTTTGAGCCTTCCCTGGCATTTTTGATGTGAATACTTTCTTGGCCCTCTCCTTGTACTTGTTTGCCCTTTTGGAGTTCTCCCTCTTTCTGTGTTTGCATCTTTATGCACAGGCATTGATTCAGTGATTGTAGAGTGCCTCTGGTGCAAGGTCAAGTTCAGCTCCAAAGGTCAGGTTTGGCTCTGTTTTTTCCATGGAGCATAAGGCCCCATACAGTCTTGTGTCAAAGCAGTGCACACCTGTGGCAGTGAAGGAGGGCACAGAGGAAGAGTAGGATAGAGAGGTCTTCTTTGACCCTGGCCTTTTCCATTGCCACCTCTGGTGTGTGCTTCCTGTGTTCCCTTCCAGGTGTGATCTGCCCATGTTCCCAAACCAGGGATCATAGACCTCAGGGTCCCTGAGATCCTGCCTGGGGCATGTGAGGAAAAGCTTCTTTCATAATAATGCTGAAATGGCAATTCTGTTCCTCCATTGTTAATGTGTGCTGATGGTCCCAACCCATGCTAGGGAAAGCTGCTGTGCTTAGCAGGAGTCCAGGCCTGGACTCCAACAGTACTAAGGCATGGTTTTACTCACCACTGCCCTACTCACAGTTTAAAAAAAAAAAAAAAAGTGCCACTTTTACATAACCCTACAGTGATAAAGTAGGAAAGATGAATTTTCAAAAATCTCTACCTGCAAATGTTACCTTCTCAGCAGTCCATGATAAGGGCAGGGCATGTGTGTGCTTCTGTGGAGCACCTGCCTGCCGAAGCTGCAGCTGTGCAGTCCAACCTGCAGCTGGTGTGTGGATAGCTGCTCTTGTGAAATGCTATGTGCACTTGGACAAGTGGATAGCAGACAAACTGCAGACTTGCACATTTGGTGAATATTTTCTGGAAAAGAAATGAGAGAAAATAACTGACAATTTATGAACAATAATATTGTGCTTTTTAAGCAAAAATTTGAAAAATTTTATCTACTATTTGTGGTATTCCTAGTACTCAAAAGATTTTTTGATATTGTTGCAATATT